AGGTCACTTTTTGAGTACGTTCTGTAATTCATAGTCTGAAAGTTAACAACGAACTCCCACATGGTCTAGTGGTTAGGATCCGGCGCTCTCACCGCCGTGGCCCGGGTTCGATTCCCGGTGTGGGAAGACGGATTTGTTTTGTATAATTTAAGGGTTCTTTCGTAACTATTGTTTTCTGAATAAGTCCTTTAATTCATAATCTGAGGGCTTACAGCGAACTGCCATATAGTTTCGTGGTCCAGCGCTCTCACCGCCAATGCCTGGGTTCGATAATATTTTTGCTGAAGGTTGCAGATAGCTTCATTCACGCTAATGCGCGATCACATGGCACCATGCCCCTTCCCCATCGTTAAAGGGTAGCTGCAGTCAATAGTTTTCTCAAACCTGTAAAATGCATGTCTGTGCCTCAGTAGACCTGATTTTCAACTTTGGTTCCACTATTTCAAAGGGTTTTATGCTAATGATATTTCCATATTCATGAGCAAAACTGTGATGTCATCTCAGGAAGAAGCCTCAATGTCACATTGGCTTGTACGCAAAAGCCCTGCGTTTTTGTAGATTTTCCTGAACTAAATTTCTTCTTCTTTGCTATTTCATCGATGGTCATTGGCATAAAAATAAGAACCCATCAATTCCTCTCTCAGAAATATTTTCAGTTGGTAAATTCTAGGTTTACAATTTGAACAGAAACACCTATGCACTGAACCATGTCTTCCCTAAATAAGGTCACAGCAACAGCTCCCTCAGTTTTCCCGGAAAACATGGATAATTTGGATAGTTTAAAAGTGTGCACTTTTCAATGCATTTAACCAGAGTGTGTAAGAGTTTTCATACATTGAAGAGAAGTACAAAGATGTAGAAAAATTGGGTCTAAGAAAAATTCATTGCAGCTGCTGCTACACTTTAATATAATTCAAACCATTATTGAAAATACGGAACAACTCGCTTGTGAATTTTTTCTTAGGAAAGATGGCGATTTTGTTTTCGTAATTTGGTAGGACAAACTTCTTATACGAGTCCTCAATTTTTTCACCAATCCCGAGCACGCCCTCAAGACCTTGACGCTCAGAACAGTATTAGACTAGCCTGTGAGGCAATGTAATTTTTTCCGTGACGATATTTAACCGAAGCTTTGTCGTTCTTGCGTTGATTGCGGCTGACATGTTTAATTAACTTGCACCCGCTGTATGACTTGTCCAACATCTTGAAATTAGTAATTCCCTAACCCTTTGAATTTAACATTGGACCTTAGCCCAGGACTGACCTATGTCTGCCTTGCCCCCTAGATGTACCTACGTGAGTGCAGTCCGTAAGTTAGCCGATCTCTTCTTCAAGCGCTTCGTCACCATGTGGCAATACTTCGACTTTCTCTTCTACAACTGTCAGGATGGCAAAGACTTCCGGAGAATTCTTAAGGTGGCGCTCGACTTCTCCAAGCAGGTCATCATCCAACGAAGGAGCTTGGCTAAAGAAAGCCAGAAGAGGGCGTTTCGAGATTTACTGGATATCTTGATAGACGCACGGGTACGTATTACAAGGTTGAGAAAAAAAGACTGGTGACAATTTTGATGAATGGGAAATTTTGATTTGCACTTAGACGACAGGAAAAGTATTTATTACAGGACTGTATACCTCCAGGAATGCACTTTTGGCTTACTGAAGCTAGCCACTAACCTGTCTACTCATATATCAAGTTCGGGTTACATTGAAAACTGGTGATAACGTTGTATAAATGTCAGTGAATTGCCAATGCGATTGATGTCATCATCTTCGCGCTATTGAAATTCGGTAAAACAAGGTCAAATTTGATAAACGGAAATAATAAAACAGGTAGAAAAACGTCATACAGGTGTATTTCATTGACATATAGGTCTTTTGCATGGTAATGTTTTCTTGCAACTTTGAAGACAAATCCCTTTTTTCTGGCTAGGATGACGAAGGGAAAGGTCTTAGCGGGGATGAAATACAGAACGAGGTGAACACATTCATGTTTGGCGGTTACGAGACGACAAGCACTGCTGCCACATGGGCCCTCTATTGTCTGGCTCAACATCCTGAGTATCAGGATATCTGTCGAAAAGAAGTCGACGAGTTGATGAATGCCAAGGGCAGTGAACATCTGGACTGGTGTGTACAGCACAAAATACCTGCTTATCAACTTAAGTGGGCGAGACGACTTACGGTGGAAATCATTCTAATTTCAGATTACAAGGTGTGGGAACGAAATTGAGATGAAACCCAATCTGTTCGATTCAACGAACCTGAATATAATTGTCTTGTCTCCACATAGTTGCAGCCCAATATAGCAAATATATATCCATTATTCAGAAAGTTAGTGCTGATGATATAGCCACATGGGTCAGGCCACAGGATAAAGCTCCCTTCGTGATAATTCCCCAGTGATGCAAAAATAACTAACCCTGCCCTAAGAAACTTTCGGAAAGTTGGTAAATAATGAGCAAATTGCTAATAGCATTTGGAATGGACTACGAGAGGTTGCGGCGTTTGGGAAAATTGAAAGCTCTGGTCTATAAAAGAGGCGATGAATGATCAAGCGCAAATTAATAAAGTGACTTACTCTACTTTGTCATGTCAATTCCACAGATCTGTTTGTTTTCAATTAAACTCTGCCAAGCAGACACAGTACTTTTTCTTCTTTTCTTCATCTCCAGGACTGACATGAACTGTCTCCCTTTCCTGACCATGTGCATCAAGGAGAGTCAACGTTTGTACCCTACCGTGCCTTTTGTCTTCCGCCGTCTTACCGAGCCGCTTGTCCTGAATGACGGCAGGGTTATTCCGCCAGGTAGGTCTTACTGCTCAGAGATTAAGGGATTTGCGATCTTGTTGACTGAATTTGAGGACGAATATTTGCCTGAGTTTTTCATTATTTCAGTCACCTTGGAGTGTTCCATCTTAACTGCGCCTTCATGGGCTTCAGTGTTTCAATTGGCACGGAGCCCAAATGTCGGGAACGGAAAGATATGCGTGTGACAAGGCTTGAAAGCTCTGCATTCTAAGCACATAAAATTTGAAACACAATGCGAAGAACATTTTCTGAAGGTTCCCCAAAAGTCTGAATATGTTAGAAAATCAGACCGTTCAAAAACTTGTCACGTTGTCAAAACACTTATTGTCGGGCTGCTTTTACAATAACAGTTTCTGGTGCATAGGTAGGTGGATAACATTTTCCAAGTTGACACTGACGACACTTTTCATACCGGTGGGAAACACTGTTAATACAATGTCGTTGCAGTGGCTCGTTTCGACAAGTGCTACACTTTCGGAATGATTGAGTAGAATGCAGTTGGAAAAAAATATCATTTGAAATTAATGAACAAAGTTCAAGAGAACATGAGTCCAGCAATCCGTTTACACACTGTTAAATTGTAATGTCTCCCATTAATTAATTCTTTTTGTCGTATGCAAGACGGTCCATATGAATAAATATTGATGCATTGAATTAGGGCTTTTTTCTGACATGGCTGTATTTCGCGATATCGTGTAACAGCATCCCGTGGCAATCAATCTATACTATCAACACACTGTAGCATTCACCGCTGCTTTTGTCTCTCTGGACCAAAGCATATCATAGCCACGACCTCTATCGGTTATTACTGGTGACCACTGATACCAGGCATACTGACTAAAAGAATAACCGAAACGTCTGTAATGCGGGAAAGAAACGGCGAATCCGAATCGGCGCCAATTCCCAGTGGAGCAAGTAGGGTGTAATTTCCTAGGGTGCACAGGGAGTGCAAACATTTCTCCAAGGGAGCACTGAAAGACAAACTCTGGCTTGTGCATAGGTTATGTAGATCTCAAAATTTCAATTCCGGGGGGGGGACGGACAGTGATGGACTTTCCATATAGTTTCGCCACCGGGCTAAACATCATACCTCCTATGATTTCCAGCAAGGCGTTTACTCAGGAGAATTAAGCACGATCTACCATTTGTCAACCATTTGGAATTTACTCTTGTGTCTAAACTGCACATCACCACGACAACAGCCATACATGTTTTGTTTACGAAAAGACTTGAATAACGATAAAAAATAATAACAATAAAAGCGATCTCATAAAGTTTGAATTACTATTTAAAGATTGGCTTGAAACAGGCTGTGACTGAAAAGTAAGTTTCAAAGGAAAATAAGGAGAAGACGGGTATGGCAAAGAAAGCACAGAAAAAGCAACTGAGAAAAGCAAAGGACAATTCAAATTTGCAATATTACTTCTGAGATTTCCACTAATGGTTAAATTAAAAGGAGAAGCTAAATTTACACTTTCTCTGGATAATCACATTAACTCCATACAAACCCACACGAGATGGAATATTTTATATCGTGGTACAACCACTCAAAATTCAGTGTGGATGCCTGCTTTTCAGAAAGGAGGAAGATAGCGACTCTGGGTATCATTAATTTCCAATCAAAATGAGTGGATCTCATGGCGAAACTAGACACCAAAATTAATTAATTGCAGCGCCACATCCGTGTGCTGAATGAACCCAGCTGTATCATCATGTGGTGTTCCGTGCCGACGAGTGACAGACGGAGAGAGAATACCGCCGCAAAATGTGCTGTTTCCATGCACGATTGAATGCTTTATACATCACCATAGCAATAGAAGGAAAAACAGGTCTTAATATCCCAGGGTGGCTCTTGATTCGATTAGGTTGGTATAGTCCTTTCGTCAGACGGAAACCACATCGGCCGAAAGACGTGCCCAAACTGGTCAACAAAGCATTTTGGGTTTGTAGCGATTTCTCAGGTTACAAAAAAATTGATTGTCACTGTTCCTCTTCAGATCTTGTGTCGGAACCTTCACAACAATCAGGAGGGTAATATAAATGTTTTCCTTCCAATTGCAAGGTGTATTAGGTGTTTTTGCGAGGTTTGTAGTTATTCTCGGACAAATATTTTTCATGAGACGTCTGTATATAGTCCTTCATTGAAGTTTTAAGGGGACAATGTAGTGAAGATTAAAGCTGTGACAGCTGAGATCTGCGTAACTTTCTGCTACAAAGCAATACCACATCTAGATACATAGCAGGGGTCACAAATGTAACTTTTGCATCATGTTTGTTTTTTAAGTGCTAAGACAATATACCTTCTATTCAAACGACAAATCTGGTGCTGGTTGAAACTGCACCAACACCCCCCCCCAAAAAAAGGGTACGAGTTGAAACCGATGTGGACCTTACAATTCGCAGGTTCCCAATTCTGTGCAAATGTGTAACAGTGTAAGAAATACCTTGTCTTTGTAAGATAATTGGAATGAATATTGTTTGAGTCCAGTAGTTTTGCGTCAGAAGAATCGAATTGACACAAATAATTTAGATGAGATATTTACAATATATCGTTAACTTGAGTAGCATCCCCATTGTGCCAACTTTCCTTAGCAGGAATCTGTTTACATTATCTCTGTTCATTAACATGTTTCATTGGGGCATTAATAATCCAGCTGTATCATTTTGAACGATTGTCTTTACATCACCACTCTCCTGTCGCGTCTGAAACTGGCATCGTTTCCAACGGATAACCAAAGTTGGACGTAGTCTTCGATTTCACATTGATATCCATTTCTGATCATTTCCAAGTCCGGAGTAATAATAGGGTCCTTTGAGATAAAATGAGAACCTGCAGCAAAATTACTGATCAAGCTGCCACATTGCAGTAGCATCGGTTGCTCTACTTTTCTCGTGTTTTCTGCAGAAACGACGGTGTACATTTCTATGAGTGGTCTACATCTCAATCCCACGGTATGGGACAACCCACAGGTGTTTTGCCCAGAGCGTTTCTCGCCAGAAAACTCTGCCAGCCGCTCGCCCCACGCCTTCCTACCTTTCTCCGCTGGACCTAGGTTAGTCATAGGGACACATTTGTCTTCTTATTCATGTTGGTTTCTCTCTTCTTTTACTTTCTAGCTCGACAATAATTCCGCCAGAAAATCGACTCGGTTTAGTTACTTTGCAGATGATTTACCGCGCATGGAAGGAAAGCTAACTTTGCCCTTTTCCAAATTCTACAAATTATGGTCTAATTGAAGACAACTTGATAAAAGCACTGGACCTGAACCCACATATCAGCTGATCTCATAAAAAAAATGCTTTTAAACTCTTTCTTATCTTTTAGCGGCAAGTTACGTGAAAGATTTTACGACCACAAATAAACAAATGGATTTTTCATGTTACCTTCGTGATCCGTCCAAAGATTGTTATAAATTTGCGTCCACCATCAAAGGAAAGATTTCTGTTACCGAATTACACAAACCACAAAATCAAATTCTTGCAGGCTTATAATCAAAAGGGAGTAGGTTCTGTATTACTCTCGTCTTTTACGGGTGTCCTCTGGTAATTAATATCTCCTATTCCATTAATTTTATTTAGTTGTGACGTACCGTACGTAGAAAGTAACGACCTGACGAAGTTTGACAATACTGGCCTTTTCCCTTTTCAGGAACTGTCTCGGACAACAGTTTGCCATGTTTGAACTCAAGACCACCTTTGCTATCCTGCTTCGCCATTTTGTATTTTCGGCAGACGAGACCAAGACGATCAAGCTATTCAACGCAGGCTGTCTGCGGAGCGAGACGGGTATCCACGTGGTGATGATACCACGTGACAAGATGGATGAAAAAGACTGAGCGCGCACTTGACATCAATAAGGCGTGACTAGTTTCATCGACCACACAAGGCTGATAGATTCGTTTTCTACGGTGAATCAGCAATAATCGTGCATGATACAAGTGTCTAAATTCAATAAAATTGTTTTTAAAAAAATGGGAAAACAAATAAAATGGGAGCGCATCGCCTGGTGGAAAATTATCTGGTCGAAGAGCAAGTTGGTAGCCCGGCAAGTTGGTAGCCGGCGGTCGTTAGTCAAGTTCCATTTTCAATTTCTCACAGAAATCATAGCTAATAAGGTCTAAGATTGAACTGGCGGTGCCATAGCTTCAGCTTAGTTTTATTATAGGTTTGGGAGAATCTTTAGATTACGAGAGTTTTTCGAGTAGAATAATGCTTTATAAATATTTAAGGCACTTTTCTGGGTACATTTTGAAAATAGTTTGATCTCTTTTATCGTAAAAGAGTTAATTTGTATTCAATAAAATGGTAAGATAATATTGACTTCGTGGTTTGTTTTAATGTTCTTTGAGCATTACAGAATTTACCACAAAGATACCTTTCATGTGCCGATTTCTATGTTTTTTTTCTCAGTGCCCCAAAATATGAATTTTGAATGTTGGTGACGATAAAACATGGCTGACGTTAAGATTGATTTCTGTTTCCAAACCACAATTTTTTTCTTTTAAAGACTAGATAAAGCAGACATAAAGAAAGCCTTAAGACGACGCATTGTGTTATATTAAAATAATGAAATGGCACAACAGTAACCTATATCAGCGCACGGCCGATCACCCTTAAACCTGTAACCCTACCCACAATGACATTGCCTTAGAGCTGTTGGCAATGATTATGTATCGGTCCGTGCTTGGACAACATGGTGACCGGTTGAAAAGATCGAATTCTTTTCGCCATATCTCGCTGAATATAAGCCGACCCTTAATTCAGCCACATCACTCCTGAACTCTCTAAAATTTCACCGTAAATTGTTGAGTTGAGCAAAGAAGAGCATTTATTGGGGATAGTGGTCATCCTAAACTGGGCTACAAATTTTGTAAATTATGTGGTAGGCCAACGGCAGCTACACAATTGCAGATAACGTAGTCCTCTAACCGTGTTAACTATTCCCATTTCCGCTAGCCGTCTCCAATACCACCTTGGTTTGTTTTTCACTGCAGCAGGCTTAATGTGCCGCTATGAACTCCGGAGTACAATTCCATTTGGCAAGTTTATCTCTGTCAGATGGAGGGGCTTTTGTAAAATCGGAAGTTTACTTCGACGAGTTTTGTCCTATCAGCCGCTTGTCGGCACTTTTTGTCAAGCCAAGGGGAAACGGAGATATCCGCCTTTGCAGTTGTTCAGGCCGATCCTGCAGACGATTTGAGTGAAATCCCATTTATATAAATTATTCTCTTGTCTCTTTGCCAACTGCCCCGCGGCTGCACGCCGGCGTTTTGGACCAGGAGGAAAACCACGGGACGTTGCTTAGCAACTGTTGTCATGGAAGATTTGGATCGTTGCGGTAAATCGCTTCTTTTCACCGAACTTGTCATAAAATTATCAACGTTCAGAAAAAGAGCTGAAAATAAGATTCCTTGCTAAAGGCATGAGGTTTTTGTTTTCAGTGGGCGCAGAAGATTAATTTCCCACCAATTTGAAGACTGAAGCTCAATTTTCTTTTCCTGAATCCATGGAGTCCCCACGGTATTACGGTCTACAGCTTCTCGGACAAATTGAATGTTTCAAACGAAACGGAACGGGAGAAACGAAATTCAGTCTTATTTATTATATGAACGGGTCAAGTTGGTAGTGTGGATTTTTCGTTCCTTCCACCTCTGCGACCCAGGTTCAAATTTTTAGAGTTTTTGGTTCTTGCCTGACTCCGTGGGTTTACCCTGGAACATTCATTGGCTGGGTTTTCCTCCCACCTCTAAAACTGAACATTTCTACATTGCCTTCTTAATTATCACTTTATCCTTACTTTTATTGACGCATAGGCCTAATTCCCTGTTAGACGAACAGATATAAATAGGATAAATAATAAATTGACATTTTGCATTTAAAGCACGTGTTGAAAAAGAACTTTGAATTAACATACAATTTTACTGTTTAAACTACTTATTTGGAAGATAATAATTATTTCTTTTTGGTTGCGGTAAATAAAAATGTACATTAAAAAAATAAAAGTCCCCTGGCCATTTCTATATATAGACAAGGACAGATCCAAGGAAGGGGGGTATGTTTCCTTGAAACTTTAATTGTCTGTCTGAGGTGTGAAGACACACTTAGGGACTTTGTATACATTCTTTGAAGGAAGGGAAATAAAATATACCAAAAAAGTTCCTTTGTCTCATTGTTTTCAAGAAATAATTTGCTGGAAGCACGGCCCCCCCACTGTAAAAATAACGTTTCCAGTTTAAACACTTTTTGGTACCCACTTTTCCCACACGTTTAACCCATGACATGTTTATTACAAGGTGTTTAGGAATGTCTTTAAATGCTAAGCGCTTTTCCGTGGTACATGTTTTAGCTCTTAAAAATCCGCTTAGCATTTCAACACATTCCTAAACGCATAACACTAAACATGTCGCGGTTAATCATGTCAAAAAAGTGGGTACAAAAATTTTTGTTAAGCAGTTGGTAAAATTCGTTTTGATTGATAATTCGAAAACTTCTTTTCTCTCCGAACCCTGTATATTTTTGGTAAAAACTCGTCAAAATGATGAAGAAAATGTTCATAGGCCAACATTTCCGTTTGGCCGCGGGCATTTTTGATGAGAGAAGTAACTCTACCCCGACGCAAACAGGATGTTACCTCCCAGCTAACTACCTTTTCGACCCCCGATCCGTGGGATAATGCGCTCGGTAAGCTCCGCGCAATTCCAACGCAAACACAAAGTAGGCGTTTTCTATTAGTACAATCCAACGGGAAGTGGCTCATACGTGGACCGTTAACTAGCTGTGCACAGAGCCAAGATCAGCAAACGCCCTTAGTCTCAAACAGGTCACAAACGCAACGATATATAACAAAAAATGGCATAATTCTTAAAAACTTATTCACTATTCAGAAAATGAAGTCTCAGATTTTGAGGACGGGCGCAACTCACCTTGAACCCTGGTGTTTGCAGTTTTGGTGTCTCTTATGGGACCGTGACCACTTGAAGCCAAGTTGTGACTACATCACATAAAATCAGTCTAAAGGTCATGTTTTCGGTAATTCTGTTCTGCTTTTAGATGGATAGGGAGGGTGACATTCCTACCCCTCAAAATAATGCGAGAAAAGTTTTGGGTCTGTTATTTCCCTTCCATTTAAAAACGTGTAAGAAGCCCTAAAGTAGCGTCACTCCTCAGAAAGGCCGCTAACGCCTGGATAAAACAGTTCAAATTGGGTTGACCCATCAAAACAAATTTGCTCCTCAGCACGAGAAAGAGCAAATGAAGTTCTTTGTTTTTTATGTATCACCGATATCCTGATGACGAAAAAAGGACAGTCGGTGAAAAATGTTTAGGGCTCCCAATAATTCACATGGTGCGCGATTCAAAGACATTCCATCAACTGTTGCTCTGGCGATTTGTGATTCGTTTTGTTACTTACGGTCTCTATTTATATACAGTAGGATGATTTGGAATCCTGTCGCTCTTTCGGTTTATAAGGGAATTTTATGATACCTCTTAAGAAAACGTCATAGGGTCTATGTGCATCAGAATAACATTCAATCATTGGATGCCAACCCTACAAATACTTTTCCCGGAACTCCATAACTTTGAATTTGTGGGATCAGAAAACATTGTAGGGACAAAGAGATGTCCCCACAACTTGGTTCTGATTTGCTCGACAGAAGAATTTGTCCTCTCAACGCGGTGATAAGGCCTGCCAACGATGTCACCCATGAAAGTCCTCAAAATGTGAAGAAGACCATTAAAAAGAGGGGCAAAACCTAGACACAGTCTGCTGATGTATCTCCTGCATTCCTTCGCTGTCACAAAAGTCACCTCAAGTTGCTTCAGCTTCAAATTACACACTACACATCTAGCAGTGTGCATAGCGGTCATCAAAGCTGTGGACATTATGAGAAGGTATATTCAAAAGGTACATGTATTCCCATCTTGTAGGGCAACCCAGAGAGCATGGACGCTCAAACGACGCCTATTGACTTTGTGGACTCTCTGTATGCAAGATGCGCGCATGGATGGCATTTCAGCAGTGTTATCGACCCACCCTACCCCTGTATAATACGTATTCCATTTTGCTCTTTGACGTATCAGACCTGTGTCGCTGATACCTTTTAAGATAAAACCGCTGACGTTGGTCCCCGTGGGTATGAACAAGAGGAAGTGTCAATAATTTATGAAGATCAGTTTTATTGTTCTTTCTACACACGTACACGTTGCTTCAAACCCATCCACCCCCTGTGCGCAAGGTTTACTCACACAGCTGTTTACGCACTATCAACACCCCCCGTGGCGTGTTGGGGGGGGGTGTGGAAGCAACAGCCTTTAAGAAACGGTACTGCCGCATTATTCGAGGGGAGCAGTTTTTAGGTGATGAAAAAAAATTGAAATCGGATATTTATTTTGAAATAAAAAACCGGTTTGCCGCCCTCCTATAAGATCCAAGACCTTGATGTGCCGTTGTTCCCCCCCCCGTGAGTTTGTTTGTGCATTCAATTGGGGACCCTGAACAATAGAGGACAATAAGGTCCCCGATTGGCAGAGGGTCCACGATTGACAACTGTGTACAAAACATATGGGTGGTCTTCTAAAAAAGTACAAACAAAAGAGGAACAATAGGGGGTCCCCAGTTGCAGGCAAATACACACTTGCGTGCGTATACAGTACTTCATGGATGCCCCTTCATCCAGCCCCTCCTAATGTCGCATCATTCTCTGTCAATAATCCTATGCGCCCTTCTATTGACTACGGGTTTGGCTGCCTGTTCTGGGATTTCCAAACCTGGTAACTTCATTTGCACCATAGCCCTCTTGGATCATAATTAGTGTAAGTCGGCCCATATTTATCTTCCTTCTGGAACTCGCTTACTTGCCGTCATAATGTGACAGAAAATCCTTCCTTCTCGTCTTATGCTCAACCTGTATCCACCTCCACTCTAATCCCTCTTACTTTGGCTATTTGAGAATGTAACCATATGACGCGAGTGGAATCATATTTTGGGGATTTTTTAGTCAGTATGTGGTAACTCTTTGTCCTTTGGCATTAATAAATCAATATGTGCATTTTCATTCTTTACAAATACATTTTGAGAAGTAGATTTCTTGCAGTTTTTAAAGAAAGGTTGGATTCAACAGATCTGAATTTGCTGTAGAATACGGGCGATTCGGAAAAGTAAGCCTTCAAGAGTTTGCAACGCGTTGACCAATCACAGTGCGCGAAATCTGTCAACCCATTCCTAAGGCGCATTGGGTCGACAGATTTCGCGCATTGTGATTGGTCAACGAATTGCAAACTCTTGGAGGCGCACAATTGTGAATCTCCCGTATTGCAGTAAAAACAATGGCGGCCTCAGAATTTGTTTGTTTGAACAGTTTTTGCAGTCTTCCTTCAAAAGTTGAGGTCAGTAGGCCTAAATCCCCCACAAACATCCAGCGTTTTGCCGTCTTACCTTAACTGTGACAATTTTCAAGGAGCTGTCGGACACTCCAACAGGATACGAAGAGATTCCAACAGCGATTAGCTGATTAGATAAGTGCTCTTCACTGTCAGCTGTGCCTACCAATTTACTCCACACGAACCCTACAAGACTACTGGAAACAGTGTATATACGGCTGCGGATACTCAATATAGCGTATCAACACCAGACACCAAAGCCGCAGCCTCGAAACTCAATTTGTTAGCGGCCCATAGTATACGTTATAATAACCAAGTAAGTATGAAAAACAGCTGTCATCGCAAGTGAGGACATGAGGTTCATGGAACAGAAGGCTTGAAGAAATTCTCATCAAAAATTTATGTCGCTTTCCGTTGCTCGGAGCACTTATGGACTACAAACGACAAATCGGATTATTTCAATCATCCAGCGAGAGGCATATTTTAATTTTCATAATCTTCAAGATATCTGTAAAAATGTTTCGCCAGTGTATTATTATGACGTCTCATTTCAGGATTACATTTTCAAGGTAAAATACTGTTTATGGATTTTTGATTTTAAGTATCTGATTATCTATCAAATCTGTAACTAGAAGTCGGCTCGGAATTGCTAGCTCTTGTAGTAAGGAAGTCCTGAAAACACAGTCATTTTATTGTATTTACATCATTTATTTTCTTTATGACTTTCCTGCTAAAAGACGCCGGGCTGCGAAGATTTCATTACAAATTTAACTTCAAATCTTAAGTGAAAAAATCGCTGCTAAATTGAATATAGTTGAAGCAATGATATTTGTTGTAACGTATCAGTATTTTTGATTACACAGCTCTGCATTAATTCCTTCAAAATGAGCCTGAGTATTTACGCTTTAGAAATTATTGATTACGATGGAGTAACTGTAATTTTGTTTCATTGTATCAAGTTTATTTGGCATGTTTGGGGTAGAAATCCTGCCAACATTTTGACATGGATTGTGCGTATAGCTTCAGATAATTTTAATTATCCCAAAATGAAAGATGTACTTGAACCAATAACCTACGCTGCAAGGGAGTTCAACGTTACAGATGAAGAAGTCTTCATTATTCTTCCAATCATTGTGTCGTGGGTGGTCAGTCTGTGAAGAACTTGAATTCGTTTGCCTCTAGCATACCGGAGCAACTGTTCAGTATTCGTACGGTCAAACATCATGCGAAAATGCAGAACGCAGCAGCGGGATCTCCGCCGGAGGGAAGAGCGTTGAACTAGCTACAATTAATCAAGAGGCAAGACCAAGCAATGTACATGAATGCAAACATTCTTCATAAGCCGACAAGATTGAGGGCACGTCCCTTGAGCCTTAGGCTGGCTTGATCAAAATTTACTTTTCTCTCGGCTACGCGGTATAGTACTATAACTCAGAAACGTTAAATTTTAGCTGGAGGTGTGGATGATCTGAGTCGACTGTGAATATTTCTTTTTCGTCGATATTCAACTGCTGTTACAAGCCCCCACTTCCTGTATCACTGCGTCAGTACTACTTCTGAGAAACTTGTCAATACATAACGATAAGTGACGCGTGTCACCATTTCCAAAAATATTCACATAGACACTTAAAAAGCAAAGTGCATTTTGAAAATGTTCGAAAATCTCCACTTTCAAATATCTCGATATTTTTTTCTAAGAAGCGAATCCAATCACACTAAAGAACATAAAATTGTATGAGACAACATGAAACCTGCCG